CGCGCGCGCGCGGCGCGCGTGCGCGTGCGTGCGCGTGCGCGCGTGCGCGTGTGGGCGTGTGTGCGTGTGTGCGTGTGTGGGCGTGTGTGCGTGTGTGCGTGTGTGTGCGTGTGCGTGTGTGCGCGTGTGCGCGTGTGCGCGTGTGCGCGTGTGCGCGTGTGCGCGTGTGCGCGTGTGCGCGTGTGCGCGTGCGCGCGTGTGCGCGTGTGCGCGTGTGTGCGTGTGCGTGTGCGTGTGCGTGTGTGCGCGTGCGTGCGCGCTCGCGCGCGTGCGTGCGTGAAACCTCAGGAGAAAACCATGGCTGACGTGGACGGAGTCGGTGCAAGCTACTCACCTTGTTTTTAACCGAAAAACCAAACGGAAACTCGAAACCCATCTTGGGGTTCCATCGTTTCTGGGAGTTGGTACCCTTTTCATGTTGGTTCACGCAAGGGGAAGAAACGAAATCCATTTTGGGGTCCCCTCAACACTGACACATACCCACATGGATCTTCCAAATGGGCATGAAGGTTTGGGGACCCTTTGGTGGGACCCTTTGATTTATGGCCAGCAAAGAAAGGAAGATAACGGGCGAAACAATTACAAAAACATTTTTCGCCTATGACTTGATTTACAAGCCGTTACCTCCAGTCTAATTATTCAGGCCCTTCTCACTTACACGCGAGTGAAAGTCCATGGTACAATTTTGTTTATGTGGCGTCCACAAATAAATCCACGAAAGCAGCCCTAACCCCCAACTAATCCACAACCATGCTTCCGTTTCCCTTTATTTGGTGGCTTGGATTGGTGGTTTCGATTGGCGGTTTGTGGGCGGTGTCCCATTTACACTCTACAAGAAGATGAGAGCAAAAAACTATCAAACTCAGGAACCTACAAAAGGTTTCAGTTTCCTGTCGGCGTCCCTTCAAAGCTTATCCAAACAGGGTGCCCTTTGCCCCGAAAAAAAGACCAGGGCGCGAGCGCCGCGAACATCCCGTTCAGGAGCGGTATCACCACCAACAGCAAAGAGGCCGTGATGATGGCGGGCACAGTGGGGTTGTGCCAATCGAAGGCATTGTAGATAGGGCACTCCTCGATCGTGGAGGAAAAAGGAGTCAAACCCAATCGACACTTCTCAGTGCTCAGCGTTCAATGGCTGATCAGCTGCACAAGTATCCCGGAAAGTGACCCCAAAAAGTGGTCAAACAGTGAGACAGGAACCCGCACAAGTAACATGCAAGTAGTCGCAGCAGGCGCACACTGGTCTCTATAGAAGGTCGTGCACCTGCTCTTCAAACAGAAGCCTTCTCAAGCTCATGTAGAAGATCTCCTGTGGAAGGGGTGGCCCTTTACCCTCACCGCAAGAATCCCTTAGACACACTGCTTGAGTGCAGAAACTTGGATGAGCTTTCCTGGTGGCTGCTCAAGCGCTTTTCCTGGTTGGACTCCTCAAAAGTTTGGGGACATGGGCTGATCTCTGAATGGCCCCCCAAAAACTTACGTTTTCTTTGGCCTGGGGCTCTCGCGGGTGAAAGTGCCTCGATCCCACAATCCCCACACTCCCCTCAGACAGGTGGCATTCTGCGGATAGTCGGCGCAGGGCACAGGGCCGCCAATCTTGGCGTAGAAATGGATGAGCGTCCAAGCGGCGTATGCGAAGCCAAGTGACCTGACATGAGCGGCAAGGCTCAGGATAGGAGCTACACCCTGGGCGTGCCATGGTTTGCCTGGGCCTTTTGGAAGGTTCGGAGAAAGGCAGCCGCAGTGTGGCTGCGCTGATCGACTTGAAGAGGATGCGCGACGAAATGTTGGAGCATGTTGAAACTTCGATAGCCCCTATGTTTGACTTCGCCCATCCTGTCCAAGGCGAGTTTGCATTTGCAGTGTGCAGCCAAAGGGCAAGAGACCCAAAGAGTTTAGTGTGGCGATTTCTCAAACGAACGAGCCACAATACTGGGGGATCCACCTGTAGAACATATGGGCTTGTCTCCAAATGGTGGACCCCTTTAAGGTGGTATTGAAAGGAAACTAGAAGAAGCCCCAACCATTTTGCACGC